AGAGAGAGAGAGAGAGAGAGAGAGAGAGAGAGAGAGAGAGAGAGAGAGAGAGAGAGAGAGAGAGAGAGAGAGAGAGAGCGAAACACCTGCGATATTTGCAACGAGTTGGACACAATGAGAGATAAGAAGGGGGAAAAGGGGACCAAAAGAAAAGAAAAAGAAAATCGAGCGAAGCCCGATCTCAATTCGGAGCCTCCATTATACATTTGACCCTGGAGCCGTTTATGAATATTTATGACGGTAAAAATCCCCCGACGACTCGTTAATGCGGTGCGAAAGACCGGGTGCAGACGGAGGGTGAAAAGAGTCCCAATACTCGGGGAAATAATGAAATGAAATAAAATTCCCCCAAAAGGCGTCGGTCGTCGGGAAAGAAGCGGAGGAAAAGAAAACAAGAGAATAATCTAAACCAGGGTGCGTGCTCGGACGCGAATTGAAAACGAGCCCCCCGACTTCGGAAGTCGAATCTCACGGAGGGAAACGAGCCTTTTATCTGGCGTCGTTTATCACCGGCCGTTCGTACGTCCGATATCGACATGAAAAACAGTGGGCCAAAAAAAAAAAGTGGCGGCAGGAAGAAAGTTGATATTTATTTTCCGCGCGTCCGATCTCCCCGGCGACTCGTTACGGAGATCGGCCATTTCTCCTCTTCCTTTTCTCGCTACACCGTCGATTGGAATCTATTCAATCTCCCCGTCTTCGTTTCCGCTCCTGTATCGGAAAACAAGGCCCTATATTTCCCCGGCTCGCGTGATGCACGGGGCTCACGTGTAGCTGCATATGCGTTTCGGGGGTTTAGCGAAACAGAGAAAAGGAGAAAAAGAGGAAGGCTCGACTTTAAGTCATCGTTAATGACCTTCCTCCGGTTGCGGACCGCAAAGAAGTTCACACCGACGAGCTTAATGTCCCCCCGTTTTCTTTTTTCCAGGCCGCAACGATTTGGCGGGGTAACTTTACCGCCGCGCGGAATAACGGCGCGTTCGCCCTCGCATGCAGGAATTTTTCGAGTCTCGAGGAAATCGGCCCGAAATACCGAAACGCTTACGTGGGGGGAGGGAGTGGGGGCGAGTAATTTTGCGAGGTATTACCGCCACCGTAACTTACAACGCCGGCCGGAATAGCGGCCGTAAAAGTGAGCCGCCATCGATTCGAGGATGTCCCGAGCGCGCGAGTACTCGATTATCGATACGGCCTTTCCGCGTTACCTCCCGCCTCGTAATTAACGGGAAGGACCGGCGGGTTTACCTCCTTCGAGCGTTGTCTTGGGATTTTTCGGGAGACGAGGCGAGATGGGGTGGTTTATACGTATAGGATACATTCGGCGCTTGCGTCTGGTCGCGGGGTGAAAATCGATCGCCAAGTGGCAAGTGCCGAATGCGGAGCCCTCGGTCCCGCCGAGGAAAACAGCTCCGCCCCTCCTGGATGGCTATTCGTATTTTTTTTTTAATTATTTATATATATATATATATATATTTTCTTATTTACCATAACTCGCGCCCAAGACAAGCTATTAATCGAGAACGCGGCAAAGAACTTCATCTATCTGGCGATCCTTCGAAGATCGCGAGCGTACCCGAGTCGGTTATCGGTTCTCTAGATTATCAGAAATCCCCCCGACGAACGCGTCTTAATTACCCCCTTGCTCAATTTCTCGTTACATCGCGGGACATTCCCATCGACGAAACCGGCGACGCGACCGTTACCCACGTCAGGACGATCCCAATTTCGGGACCCTGACGATAACGAAGAGCAAGGGGGTGCGAGCTTTATCGCAAACCCCCAAAAACAAACAAGCCAAATAAAAGGCACAGCCCTTTCCGCCGCTCGTCGGCGAACGGAGAGCGACGAATCGAATCGCATCGCAATGCGGCAATAACGCTCGAGTCGAAAACGCGCAAAGCCATTGGATTAACGGACATAAAGTAAATTACGACCGGGACAACGTGCCCGTTATTAGGAGTGCCGATGTCGAACCGGCGGAGGTCTAAATTGCGTGCAACTCCGTCCGAGGGACGAAATTCCTTCCTTCGCTTAGGAGGTGGAAAAAATGTGCACTAATGACATTTCTTTTTTTTTTCCTTTCTTTCTATTATTAGGGGAATGTGAAAGTGGCATCCGAAAGCTCAATCGTTCATAAAACTTTTATACGAACAGGGTGTCTCAAATCGTTTCATACTTTAAACCGTGAATATGGAGACCCTAAGGTAGGTCCTAAAACTCGCAAAATTTCATTTTTTTATAAATTATTTTTAAAATACCTATGAACAAATTAGAAAAGAATTGAAATTTCATGAGTTTCAGAACCTTCCTAATAGTCTTTCTATTCACGTTGTACAATTTCAAACTATGCGGTAAACCGAGTTGGAAGAAAAGTTTTATAAATAAAACCTCTTCGACGCCACTTTCACATCACCTTAATGTGTAATGCCATCCCAGCGAAGGTCCAAATTGTGTACAGCTGTTCGAGCGACGAAGTTCCATCGCTTATGAGGAGAAAAATGTTCATTTGTAACAATTTTTGTATCAATATTCAGTGCCAGAAGGTCCAGATTGCGTGTAGCTACGTTCGAACGACGAAATTCCCTTCTTCGGTTGTGAGAAGGGAAAGGGTGCACTTAAAGATTTCTTTCTTATTAATATCGAAGATATATCGTCCCCGCAGCGACGTGGGAAAAATAAATCGAGAGCAGAATGTTCGCGTTAATAAAGAAGTGGGAATATATTGCGAGGGAGGTCGGCCCCTTTTACGGGGTCAAAGATATACGGAGAAAAAAGAGGTTTCCCAGCGCGCCGCAACCCTTTGACTCTCCGCGGCGGGTTTCAACGGTGCCGTTCATTTCCTCCGGTGCCGGGTGGAGAAAGGAGTCGAATCGCAATTGTCGTACCGAAAACGCGCAAAGCCGTTTATTAACGGCGGTAAAGTGAATCATGTGCGCGACCCTTCTGTATCGGGCCAACAAAGGCGTTATTAGAAACGCGACGCGTTATAACGAATCGACGATCGCGACTCATCAACTTTTCTCTCTCCTTCCTTACTTTTCCTTTCTTCCCCCTTTAAGGAATTCGGCGAAAGCTCCGCGGTTTCGAAAATTAAACAGCCCTTGTTAAGAGCACTTAATAACATTTTATCAAATCCCATAAGATTCCATAAGATTAAGCGAAAACGAACATCAGAATTCGATCGAACTCGAGCTCGAGTTTTTCGCCATAGCGTAAGAATCGATTTTCCGCGTTTCTCTTTTCTTCGAACCCAGTGCATCGACTTCGGTCGCGATCGAGCCGATCGATCGACGGTGCATGTTCATCGGGAGAAAGTAATCGAATGCGATTACGTTGTCTGGCTTCCGTATACGGTGCACGTTTTTTTCCCTCCCGAAAGGAATAAAAATAAAGGGGAAAAATTCAACGACCAACCCTCGCGTAACGATGGCGAGCGAGAAACCCTTTCAATCGTGGTTAACAACATTGCAGCCGGTTTCCTCGTTAGACAATTTATTCCGAATTATTCCTGATTACTCCGAAGTCGCGAGTGCCGTAGAACAATCGAGAGGAAAAATGATGGTTCCTAAGTGAATTTGAATAATTATCGGCCAGTACTTTTGGGTCGGTACTTTCTTCGGGGCATCGCGAGGTTATCGGCGAGGTAATCTCTCGCCAGCGCGTAAACGAACCACGAGCAAATAATAGAAAAGTACGCAATTACGTTATCGATATCGCGAACTGCCCGCTATCTTCGCCATCGACGGCGGAACGGTGGCACGAACCATTAGAAATACAAGTGAAAGTGTGGGGAGCGTTATGACGACCGTGCGCGCAAGTGATGCCACGTACAATTATACGAGGTGACTCAAAACTGTTAGAATTCCGTTTCCACATGAAGGTAAAAGGAAGATCCAGGATAAAAAAAACCCAGCGTCGTTTTAAAAACTGCCAACTACGGACGCTCGTCGCGGAGGGTATAAACCATCGATGTTTATCAACGAGCTGGGTTTTTCCAAGTAATATTCAGTGCAATTCCGCTATCCGAAATATCGGGGCAGCTGATAAAATCGTCGCAAGATGCAGGGGTTGTCGCCAGGGTTGGCCAGATATAATACGTCATGTAATACACATGGTTTTCTACGCGTATATTACAACGTATAATACCTTCCTAGTTTTCTACATGAGCGCGAAATATACTACACCCTTCTATTTCTAAATAGAAAATAATAAATCCAATTAGAAATTTGATATTAAACTGGGTCAAGTCGAAAGAATTTGAACACAGATGCCAAATTAATTATTCCTTAACACGTTGAATGCCGTGGGGGTCACCAGTTACCGGCAACCGCCTTGCGATAGTACCTCGTCATTTGTTTTGGTATTCAACGTGTTAACCATTTTTACGTGTTTATACGTGCGCTAAAAGACGTTAACCTCGCGAATACATATATCATGCGTCTGCAGAATCCGCCACATTGAAAGCGTAAAATTATAAACGACTTTGAATACAAGCGACAAATTAATTCATTGTTCCTTAAAATATTTCCGTGTTTACATATATGCTGAAGGACGTTTATAACGTAGCAGAGGTCGTATACCGTCCATCCGCGGCATTCTTCATATTGAAAACGTAAGTTACTGGTTTCCTACGATTTTCCCCGGTAAATTACTTTCTTACGTAATATAGGTGAAAAACGTCGAAAAACGGGAAATTATCCTCCCCTGGTTGTCGCCCCGACTCGCCGTCGACCCGGCGTGAATATTAGCCGGCGTTCCTCCGAGCTTACGCGCGGAGCGTCCGCTCGAGGTGGCGAAGTTTTGAATTTTTTTAAGCGCGAAAGCGAGTCGTAGGAGTGTCGGGACTCGGGGGCGAAAGCGCGCAGCCGAGGCCCTCGGGAAAATCGAACAAAACCGCTGCCCCTCTCCTCTCGACGCTCGGCCGGAGCCGGGGCGGCGGCACGTCGCGATCCTCCTCGAGGAGTCGGGAATGGCCTGGGTAGAAAGTGTCCAACACTCACCTCCTCGGCGAACTCGAAGTCCCCGTCGAATTTCCGCTTGGCCGCGACCTCGGCCGCCGCGAGGAGCAGCACCGCGGCCGGGAGCACGCACCGGAGACGCATCTTCGCACTTGACGGGTTCTCTCCTCACCTCTCCTCGCACCGGCGATCCTGGCGACGCGCCTGTAGCCCGCGGCCCGAATCCGCCGCGATTTTTTCCCGCACCTCGTGAGAGACGCCCAGCGACGTATCGGCGACCGGCGCTCCGCTCGGTCCACTCTCACCTCGAGAAAGCCTGCTCGGCCGCGACCGTCCTACCTTGGGAGTCGAACGGGTTGTGATCGCGCGCGCACGTCGGGGCGCCGGCAAGCGCGGCGGCCGGCGCTGATTGGTCGATCCCTCCAGCCGCGCCTGCGCAGTGCCGAGCCGCCGGCAAGGCGGAACCGGCGCTCCAACTTTTATGCCGCTTTCGGGCTTTTTCGACTCCCGAATGGCGGTTCCGGAAGTTTCCTTTTCACCTTTCTTTTTCCCCGACGCCGAGGTCCCGTATACTCGGAGATATCCGGACGGGAAAGGGTCGCGTTCCAAGGAACGACCTCTCTTTCTCCAGATATTTCGCGGACTTTTCTTTGAACGGTGCTCTCCAACAGTTTGTAGGGGAATCCTCGCTCGCCTCCGAGGGTGGGTTAAATCGAGGAGACGTGGGGTTGAATTATGTTTATTCCAGGGGAATTGGCAGATTCTTATGTCCTTATGGAGATGAAACGTTGATAAGATACGGTTGTTTAACGGGTGAAGTAGGGGAACACGAGGACGGGCATGGGATCCATCGGGATTAAAGATGGCGTCGCGCTCGGCGCGACCTGGCAGCCCAAAGGGTTAATCAAGAACTGCGCGTCGGTCCCTCGGGGCGATCCTCGTTCCGGTTTGACTTCCTCGTTGGCTGCGTTCGGGGTTAGGAAATGCTCGCGCAAATTGATGAGCGGGGTGGAAAACGTCGGGGACAAGTATCGCGGGAGGCTCCGAAGTGCGTTCCGTGGGGACGGAATTCCACATTCGATTTGAGAACGCGGTCGACCTCGATATTAGCCAATTTTACGTGTGCTATAATGCACGTATTATAGACTTCCCTAAGGACATTGACCTACTTTATAGCTTGAAAGTTCAACCGAGGCTCGAATGCGAAATGAAATCATTTTTGTCGAACTCTGAAGGTTCACCGGAATTTGGAATAGTACCCGACTTGCGTTAAACGCCTGACCTGATTTTCCGCAACGTCGCCCGTTTCCTGATTTACTCTTGAAGGGCCTTGATATCTCGAAATCGCATCCGAAAGCGAAATCATACACGAGGGCAACCTTTTGTGTATCATTAGTCGGCGTCTCTCCACCCCTACGTCGGCCTACTTTTATTCTTTTCAAGTTATCCTTTAGTGCGGCAAGTACCTCTCCATCCGCATGCCTCTATCGCGCCCTTTCTTTTACATACAACCACCACGGTTGCGCTCCTCCATTATTTTTGTTTCTTTTTCATCTCCTTGAGTCATAATGACAGGCTAAACTCGCGCCAAGTAACACGTACCAACTACGTTCATTCATCGAGAAAATCGTAAAGAAGGAAGTTAAGAGGTCGCAAATTTACCACCTAAACGTCGTCGAAATATTTCAACGATCAAACGTCAGTAGCGTGACTGGCTTGTTACTAATTATTTATCTACGATATCAAAACATTCATTTTAAATGTCAAGGATGGCATTAACGTAGAATTTTTGTCAGAAGGATCCGTAAAAAGTGATGAATATCGACGACTTAATGGAAAATAGGGATTTCGGTACGGTCAGGAAAAATCATGCTTAATCAAAGAGTGTACTTTATTCGTGCAATTCTAATTACATCCATTTCTTTCAGTGATACCGAGTATAACGTTGCGTGTAAGAAAATCTTTTTTCTCTGATGACGTTTACCGAATCCGTATCGAAGCAGCCGGTCCCATCGACTAGGACAAATCACATCGATTCTGTTTTGCGCCAGTGGATAGCTATAGGTTGCGGATCCATCGGCGAAATTTTACGCTATCCGCTTTTTCCATATTATTTCAGATGAACGTAGTGCCACTTATCGACTGAAATCAGACACGTTGCATAAAATAATTCACTGGTCAGAATCCTATTGCATATATTCGGCTTCTCCTACTGACTCAAATATTTCACGTGTTGCACTTCGGAATGGCTAGCTCCATTAAGCGTCCCGTTAGCTTGGAAACTTCAATATTTACAGTTCACGAAAACGTAGCCAGCTATATAAAAACAAGCTTCGAATGAAACCTATCAATGGGTATGGCCGAGAGAATAATATGTAACGGATGAGTCGATCTCGTTGCGGAAAGATTCGATCTGAATATTTTAACGTCTAATTCAAGAGATTTTAAATCCTCACCGATGGGTTCAACGGGGTGAGGCTCCACTCGTTCTGGCGCTTTTTCCACCACTTCCTCGGCTGCGGTTGGAGTTATTTTAAAAGGACTTCCGTCGACAGTTACATTCGTACTATAAAGTGGAAATTGAAATATGTACCTCCAATATCTGAAACTTCTAAAACTAAATTTATGCGTATGAATAACAGCTGTTAATACAAACCAAGCGATATTTCCTGCCGGTGCGTCCCTTTTGATAAGACTCGACCAATGCCGGTGAACGTCATCGATAATTTTCAGGGCGAATTCCTTCGATTTTGCCTCTCCATTGAAAGCAAATTGATTTTCTGGTTTACCGTCCGGTATTTTGTAGATTTTAAACCATTCTATGGTTGCTTTCATTAAACCGGGATAGTGTTTTTCGACATCAGCGACACCTTAAGTTGCCCAATAAAGAATGAATTATGACCCGTCATTATATGATTAGCGTTACAGATAACGTTATCAACAAGGATCTAATTACAGATTCTATTTTTACCCGATGTGCTGTCTTATGCGATTTAGAAGTACTTTGTTGCCAGCACTTGTTAAAATCAAATATACTATAAAAGAAAAGATATTTACTTACTATTCATTTGTTCAGCTAATGGATCATTTATATCTACAGCGATAATTTTCCAGTCAGTTTCCCCTGAAAATTAATTCATTGTCAGTGCATTCAAATTATTTTATGCCCGTATGCTAAGCAAACCAACTAATGAAGGTGCAACTAAACATTACCTTCATCAAGTAGGGCAATCGCACCAAGGACTTTAACTTTCAGCACTTCTCCCCGTTTTGCAACCTGAATTTAGAAAAGCTTTTTGTGAATTGTTCAACATTCACACGAATGTTAAAATTATGTACAAAAGAATTGTAGAGTGAAGAAAAAATAATAGCGACATCGTAAATTCTATATAGCAAAGATTTCACCTTTTTTACTTCATTAAGAAAAACTAAAGCGGAAGGAGCGGTTTTCTTACTTTATAGCCTATTTCAAGGACATCTATTGGGTCATTATCTCCTTTACAGCCTGTTGCTTCATCTAAAACTTCAGGATTTTCCCATGTCTGCAAAAAAATGAGTTAAAAGAATTCAATGTTTAAAAGTAAGGTCCAATAACAATATCGCAAACAATCCGTTATAATACAAAGGTTGTAAATCGCATGTTCAAGATCAAAATTAGTAACTGTTAATAATCTTTGATAGATTTCATAATCTCTGGCCTTGCACTCCAGTCAAGCATGTCTCACGGATACAACAATCTTGTGTATGGCATGTGATAAGAGATTATGAGATCATAATATAGCAACTTCAATTGAAAGGTCAATTCTATTACATACATCCGTGATTTGATGGTATTCGTACCAATCAAGCATTGTATATAGAAGTTAGACTTTAACAATTGAGAATATTTTCATCATGCATTTTATAAATTCTGTATTTATGTGTATCTATATTCTTTTCAAATACATGTGTATAATGTAAGAAAAGTTTGTGATGTCATTAAATATTCATTTAATGCGTTTTATACCTGAGGAAGTGCTCCATAGTTCCATATATACCCATGGTGAGGAAAACAATTAGCAACAAATCGCAGTTTACCCTTCTTAACATCCTGCTTAATAGGATTCAATGTCTCTTTAAGATTGATTTCCATTTTAGCATTTGTCCATCGTGGTACTTCGACGATCATGTGAAATATTTTATTTGCTTCATCAGCATATAAGGGAATATCGTGCATGGGAGAGATGGGGCAAATATCATTTCCTGTAACAAATCCAAAAATACTTATAAAAATAAAAGAAATGAAGATCTGAAAAAATGTAGTTATACCAAACACACAGTCCAGCTTCGAGTATCGGTCTTCTACAAATTTGCTACTACGGATAACTATTTGAACTTTCTAACCACAAGTCATAAAAACGATAAATATTTACATGGGAATCTATTCTACGGAGTTGGAAATTTTTTTACTATTGCAGTTACAGGATTACAATCTAAGGTTACTCCATTCCTGTTCATTATGAAAACCCTTAGTTTTGAGATAAGTGTTACATTCAATTAAACACTCAATTTAAATGAATAAAATTAAATAATTTGCACAAATATGCAAGCTTCCATATGTGGATTTCACGTGTTCAGATGTTGATAGAAATCCGAGGAATTGCACGATTTGAAGAAGTCGCGAGTAATTAATTACAATAGATAGGTAGAACTTCTTGGTGGTAATCGCATGATCGGCATTAGCATTAGGTGGGAAGCAAAGTACAAGCCACGAAGGCAAGCTACGAAAGACCGAGTCAGCCGGACTCGGATATCGATTAAGGTTATACAAAAAAGGTTACTCACTGAAATACATCCTATAATCCGTAGAATTAGGGGCCCCTCGTTCGATAGTTGAGTATGACATCGTCGTTCCTAGGTTTCTACGGATCGAGGAACACCACTGAGCATTAACAGGACGTCGAACAGCACTTAAGCCGAGCGGAACTGTAAGCCCGTTTAAACGGCAAGAACGTAACACGTGCAACGTTACGTGCGCCATACCGACACCTGGTCGCACGAAACCGAACGACGATATCACTGCATTTATCGACGGAAGCTTAGTATCGTCAATTAAATAATGGCGAACCGAAGAAGTCGATGCTCTGAGAAAATTATTCCATACAGAGTATAATTAATGCCTCGTCCGTTGTATTTAATATGTCATAAGTGAGCTGTGCAATGTTATCGGCTCGAGGTCTCGAGTTACTGCGCCATCTTACGGAGTATCACGGAAAATATTGATAGGAAAAATAAAAAAAATTATTCCTAATCTTACGGAAGTGCCACTATCGATTTAATGCATAATACTACCATTGATACAAACTAAAAATGCCTTTCTGATACTCGTTTGTGTTCTTACCGCAAGTGATTGTAATATTGCAACCAATAGAGCTTCCTTTACGTCTTCTGTTAATGTGCAGAAATGAACGGTACAAATAGACTACACTTAAATATTGATGTATGAGAATCTAGTTACCGTTTATTGCCAAATAGGGCTAATATATCGATATAATACCAAGTAAATATTCAATTAGTTAAAAAGGGTTGGATATACAAGACTTTAATATATATCTATTTGTAGAATTCGTGTTCGGATTCGTCCTTCTTGATATTGTTCTTATAACCCTTTTCAAAATCTTTTGCCAAGACTATATATCGATTTTCGCGCACGGCGTGCATTCCTGCCTCTTGGCAGATAGCATTGATGTCAGCACCGGAAATCCTGTCCGGTCTTGCCACATAATCTTCTAAATCCACTTCTTCGCTTAAATTCATTTTTGCTGTAATCGTTGCAAAGATAAGTCGTTTCTGTCGGCGATCAGGTAACGGAAATTCTATTTTCCGATCGAGTCTTCCAGGCCGCAGCAAAGCAGGATCCAATGTATCGGCTCTAAAATCATTATCATTATCATTATATTTCATTCATTGGATACTTTAATAATTTATTTTATAGATGTTTCAAAAATACCACAGCAAATTCACCTGTTAGTAGCCATGATAACTTTCACATTAGTTGTTTGATCAAAACCATCCATTTGATTAAGCAATTCAAGAAGGATACGTTGTACTTCACGATCTGCTCCAGTTTGTGCATCAAACCGCTTAGTTGCAATTGCATCAATTTCATCAACAAAAATAATTGCTGGTGAATTTTCTTTAGCTAAACGGAAGACATCTCTGACCATTCTCGGACCCTCTCCCAAGTACTTTTGGACAAACTCGGAACCCACGACTCTGATAAAAGCAGCTAAAACATTACAAAAAGGTTTCAATCACTCGTTTTAAATATGGCGTGCTAAATCTCCATACCTGTTGTGTGTCTTGCCACAGCTTTGGCTAGCATAGTTTTACCACAACCAGGTGGACCATATAACAAAACACCTCGTGGTGGGTCGATACCAATCTGCTTATACAATTCAAAGTGCGTAAGTGGCAACTCCACTGCTTCTCTGATTTCTTGCTTCTGCATGTCCATTCCTCCAATGTCACTGTATTGGATATCAGGTTTCTCATCTGAAGAATTGTTCGTATACAATATTAGAAAATTATTTTTTTATCACATTATATACAATATATCTTAATCCTGTATAATTAATTAAAATAAAAAATAAAATAATCGCTGTTTACCTGCTTGCAACATCGAAATGCTAGAATCAGCTTCGGGAGGTAATACATCTACAAGAGCATTACTATGCTTATGAAGTGCCACGCTAGCAGAAGGTTTCAATAATTCTCGATCTATAGTAGACAAAATGCGCACGTAGTAATTCGACCCAGTTGTTGAGCCCACTATTCCCGTATTTTGATCTACCGCCTCAAGAAATTGTCCAATAACAAGTGGGACACTCTGAATACGCTTTACTTCTTCCTGCGCATGCAGATATTCTTTCTTCAAGTTACGCTGTTCATCCTTAATATATTCCTCTTGCACTTCCAAAAATTCCAGCATTCTTTGTAGCTTCTGTCATAATCAACATGAGAAATTGATTAGACACTCAAACTTGTAACGAACCTTTACAATTGCTTCAAATTTTCCACCGTGCCCCTTGTTAAATAGTGCTTATATGCAAAGAAGAATTACCTTGTACTTGGTATAAAGATCCTCGACATCCAGTTCTTCACCTGCTCCCGAATAATGCCCGATTAGAGGCTTGCATTCTATCTCTACTTCCTAAAAGCAGAAGGAGATAAAGAGAAGGAGAGGTTAGGTTGCACACAATGATTCCTGAATTTTAGCACTTCAGCCTATCAATCGAACGTATCACATCTAATTCAACTAACTTACCTTATCGGGAAGAATAGTACCGATTTCTTCCATTTCTCTTTTCTCTGTATCCAATACTCAAAATATAACACTTAAAAGGTCTACGAATGACTCGAACTTTTCAACGATTTCGATTGTAATTCACAGTAGGGAAACTTTCATGTAAATACATACATGCAAACATCTCTGCACAGCAGTGTACACTGTAAGCGTACAGTGTACATATGTATGTACGCTAGCTACCCGCAATCATCACCAGGAGACAGCACAGGACGTGATCGCGCGACCCTGCCCGTGAACAATCTCCCAACTCATTTATATTTTAGCATGCCGAAGCCGACGATGCGGTCGATTTTAACGCTTCAAAAAGTATGATTAATGTAAAAGTGTAGAATAATGGCTTTATTTAAAACATCAGGCCAAATTCCAGAGGATGCAGTAAAGTTGACATATGATGAAGCATTAAAGTACCAATGGGAACAAATTACGAATTGGAAACCACGGAAAGACGTGTAATTTTAACCTATCCATTAATATACTTTTCTAACAAAAAAATAATTTTAAATTTGTAAGCAAATGAGGAAGTACATATTGGTACAAGTACCATTTACATATATTCTAGATGGGCTTTTCGTTATGGGATTCATATTCTATCAGGAACTACTGCAATGACTGGTATGTACATTAATAAATATTATCGACAAAAGTTAAAACTACGAACTCAGGGATATGTTTCTTCGTTCCTCCCTACTATGATTATCCCTGCAGCAATAGGAAACTTTTTGTATTTGGAGGTAAGAATTTAATATTGTATATATATCTAAAACAATTGGATTTTTATTACAATTTTTGTTTGATTTTTGTCTGCTGCTACAATTTTGATATAATTGTGGCGATTCTTCTAGTTTGTATCTAATGACCTTATCCTGCGGACCACTGAATGTCCTGTTTGTGTTGAAATTAAAGCTTGTGCAATACAATCTGGCATTGGTGTAATTTATCCTATTTGTATATCATCGATAGCAAACTTTATGGTAAGCTATGAAAAAGTATATAATAATATCTGTTTTGAAATGCATTTGATATTTGCATTGTTTACATCTTGTGATGAAATTACAAATGCACGTAAAGAATTCAACGTAATTATACGTACATTTATAAAGTTAAAGTTAATTCTGTCATCTTGATAGTAGTAATTTGCTCATTTGTTATCTTTGCAGATTGCATCTCTTTGTGGATCTTACAGACTTCCACATATTACCGATGTGAAACCGTTATTCAGCACATGGATAACACTGTCTAAATCACTCGGAAAAAGGATACCAACTCTATTCATGATTCAATGCATAGTTGCGTCTGTTATAACATATTCTCAAGCAGCAGCTTTAAATCATATACAAACAACATTATTGCTGGATTGGGAAAAGGTGAACCAAGAACAGGAATTGGAAGCATGAATCTGTGTAGCAAGAGAGGTACCACGTTTAGTAATAGATGTCTTAGTTTCAGACGTATTGTTTACATTCTAATAAAAATTATACCTTATAAGATAAAGTGTATTCTTAACGCCTTTACATGCATGTTCTAGGACGTTTTCTTATCTAAACCAATTCTACTTAATAATTTGATAACTATATTTTTAGAATATTCTGGATAATACTATGATAGTTTTTGTTTTTTCTGTCATTATCTGGCTTCGATGAAGTGTCTTATTAACAAACTAGCAATCAAAACTAAAATTTGCAATTAATATGTCATTTATGAGCATACCATATGGGACCACAATAATTATTTATCGATACTACTGTCAATAATAGTTTATTATAGTGCTTAAAGAATAAAACATCCCTCAGTATATAAAAATTATGAAATATATCAACTATGAGCAACATTTTAAATAGCTGTCAAATAAGAAATAAAAAGTACTGAGTGAACTTATATGAAATGGTATGTCATGATCAACGGAACAAAAATTCAAAAACCGATAAAAATTGAGAGTATATGAAGTACGGAATTATGAATATGGTCTCAATAAGATACGCTATGTGGTAATATAAAATTCATTTTATTCCTTCACCCCACTGTTGTAAGCTGGTAGTACTAATTGATATTTATTTAATTTGCCAAAATTTGCGACTTTTCATTTCCTTCTACTCACTACGGGTATCAACGAGTTCTCCTTACAATCAATTTATAATCAAATGTAAACCACGCATCTAGGCACAATATGATTTGTTATTTCAGTAAACTTTTCTAGTTCAATTTCCATAATTTTCTTCTTTATACGTGTATATCGTGAAGCTGTTAATGCTGTTGAAAATTTGCGGATGGTATAATTTATCACGTTTTAGTGTTCTTTAACTTAACCCGACCACCAATTTGCATACGGTTATTCGTAACGAGATCGGTGATATCGATTCAGTATATAAGATTTTCGGAATACAGTATATATGTAAAGTACCAGTCATAAAATTTATGTCACGCTAATCTGGTTCTGATTAATGAAATACAGTAGTATCTTTTAATTAAGCATGACCTCGAAGGAGCTCTTCAATTGAGCGCACAATGAAACCGATTTTTTAATTAATTATAAAAGAAATTGAGCTAAGTGTGAGCTATTCCAAAGAACCAAAAAATCGAAATATTAAATATTTCAATACTTTTTTAAATGTATCAAAATAGTATTCCGAGGAAGGACACGTTACACATTTATGTGCAAAACGCGCTGACCATGAAATACATTTTTAACGCCTAAACCGTCTAATGTTTCCATTCTTTATCTCCTTTCGTGTAGCCAACATTTGAAGGGTTAAACAACACAGACGTCGTTCGATATTCGGAAATTGAAACCAATGACGAAATCCTACTTCCTCTGGGCATTCCGAATATCGCAATTTTCAGCAGATATGACTAAGATTTTTACGTTAACAATGAAACGAACTAAATTATCTAAGCGATTTGTGACTCGATAAAATTCTGTGCGCCAGAAATTTCACTATAGTTGAATCTTTTCATTCAAAGATGCACCGATATTTCTCTAATCCATTATGGATATTAATGTCTTTTATGCTGAACAAATGTGATCGAAGACCACATAATACAGAGGAATTCATCAATGGGCAGAACGCTCATGTCTAGGATATCCCTGCGTATGTCAAGTGTCAATGTACGTCATTTCTTCGTTCGGTAAAGCCCTTTTAATGTAAAAGACAATATATGTAATGATAACATGGTAATTCCTTGTATTATTTTGCACAACAAATAGAACGAGTAAATATGACTTTCATATAGCGAAAGTGTACTAGAATTTTTGTTGCAAAATTCAACGCAGAACTACCTTTTCGCGAATCTTCTTAAAAAGGACTCGTGAAACGGCAAGTCGAACGGATATGCGGCGTCACAATTCCTTCTTAGGCGCTCCTTACAATTTTATCAAATTGTAGCAATAGTAAGATACGATTTCCCGACCTCGAGCTAAGGTAAAAATCGAATAATACTTTTGCAACAACCTATTAGTACATTAGTGTTACAATGTTAATGCGCCTTTAAGTCATATCGATTTATAATTAAAAACACTGACAATTTACAGCGATAACAGTTGCAACACCACTAATGGATTGACTATCTTCTATCAGTGAAAATGATATCGTTTTTATAGTTCACCGTAATTTCAAACTCAGAGTTTAAACGGAAGAAATGTATTCACGTAATAAGTCCTTTAGTGCGACGAGGAAAATCGGAATTTGAAAAATCACCGAGACTTAAAAAGTGCACAGATCCCATAGCATATACTCGACCCTCTCATGACAATATTTCGCACATCATCAATAAGGAGTCGGTACAAGTTCAGCGTGTGCTATGAAATTTACACTGAAAACAGTTGGACTTCTAAAGCTAGGTATATTTCTGGCAGTTATTAGACAACGTGCGGAGGCTCGAGCACGAGGCCTCAAGGGCGGACTACGTAATCGCAGGATATTAATTAGTATACGTAATAACATTGAGTACTAAATATCAATTAACAAATTGTAACAACACGAACTTGAATCTCAGCAAGCTCTGAAGTACGTAATAATTCTAACGATGGATAAATTGGCAGTGAGCAGAATCAGCTGCCGTTAGCTGAAGAGCCTAAGAGAAGCAACGGCACCAAAACGCGAAGGAAAACGTCGGAAATTCCTTGCCGAGATTCTGCCGAAAACATTGCTCCAGTAATAACAAGGCTTGATCACGTAGAGATATATATAATTACGCCTCGCTAATTACGGCTAACGGTCGACCGTATCGATGGGTGGACCATCCTAGCTTTTCTCACTGCACCGAATCCCTCGCTCTGACAAAGTTACTTCACTAAATTGCCTACCCTATGCAAATCCTACCGATGGCAAAATGGGGAAATATCAGCAATGAGAAAAGATAGACTAACACGTTTCTATAGCTAAACATTCAGAGCCTGCCATGAGTCACGAATAAATGTTAGTTGCCGAACAGCTGATAGGCCTATAAGCCGTAACACTGGGGCGGACGTCACTTTCTATATCAATGCCGAAGCTCTGGCAACACTTAGCTTAGCTATTCTTCACGGCTCAGGTGTAGTACAAATTTATACTTGTTTCATAACTTCATTTCTCCACAGTTCCTGGCTTACAAGGTAAGCAATTAATTGGACATCTCATCGAAATTCGGAAAGAAGACTACATTTAACTGCGCTTATGACTTCTCTGATGAACTCGTTTTAACTATTAAATAATTTCCTGTTTATTATTCGTTATAATAAAAAGAAACGGCGTATTCTTTGAAGTGAAAGATTGAGGGAATTGTGGTACTCGATTTCATAGTGTTAAGTACGATTACAGTCACTCTGGCTTGCATTTTCCGTGCGCTAAAATACAGCTGTAGTCATCCGATATTTGCAGTAAAACGAGGTGTAAGGAAAATAATTGCCTAATAAATTTCGGCTAATTTCAGCTGCCCGGTTTCTATGTTCTGGCCTCCAATACATAAGGTCATTAATACACAGGTTAATAAAGCTCGATTCCTTCTCAATAATGTCTATCCTTTTTTTAACCAGTGGTAAAAAACATTGGAGTAAAACTATTTTTTAAGAGAAAAATGGTTTCAGATTTTTTACAGTTAACCGAATGTCACCGCGATTGTTCCCTACATGTTCCTATTAAACACAGCAAGGTCACTCGCAAAGCGATAATGCACAATAGTTTTTGTCAACATTTAAACATTTCATAACACGTATTAACGTACGTGTTTAGAACCGTAAAGATACATCGTTTCCGCCATCCAGATACAATGACTCTCACATCCACAAAATAATTTGTCAGGTCACCTATGATCCATGTTTTCTCAATGGAAAAATGAAAAAAAAAATAGAATACCACGATTTTGAGTAATAGTTATCTGTTGGATGTCATGGATCGCGCATGTGATATAAAACAATCGAGAATGAATTGGTAAAATATTCAGATAATGTCGATAATGTTCAGAAATATTGGCAATAAGAATACTGTAAAATGTCAAACTGCTACACGCAAATGTCGGGAAATGAATTAATACCCACATAAGTACGATAATGTAGTAAGATTTGAAAATATTTATCGTCTTGGTAAATTTTATCCACAGACATTGTGCAACACAACGGGGTGGTGCGTCTGCAGTATTGACATGTATGCGTGCAATTACACATTTGAAATGTAACACAATGTTTGTCGCAATTAAGGGCAATATTCCCAAAATGATTAGGAACATTTATTGAATGTGTTCTGAATAAATTCCGTCTTTCAACGTTCTCGGCAGAACATTCTCGTCTGTCATCACATATGGCGCGTAGTGTATTCGATTTGTTGTTTGCAATATACGCTGACGACCCACACCTCTACTCGCAATGTAGAGGAGGGACTGCTATGCCTTGTACTCCGATAGGATATTGATGTGTGCTTTATATATTCGATGCAGCTATATTGTACATGATTCATGACACGATCACGAATCGCGTAGCGATCAGAATCACAATGAGATCGTCATCTTTGTTAGTAGCTTAAACCTAAATTAATGATAATTAATGTATTAGTATTAGTTACAATGCAGTCAGTTGCTTATGTACAGTATTTTTAGTTGCATTTACACTCTTTCTGCCTGGGAAGCGTCTTAATTGGATCATTTTCTGATCCGTTCGACAGCCACGAAAGTGATAATATGACAGCCCTGGTAAGGGCGAAACATGAAAGGACTCTCCGGATAATGTTGTATTACTTTCGTAATAGCAAAACTAAGTGTTACAAATGAAAGTCCTCGTAGTATGCATAGCATAACTCTTACAAGCCTTTTTTGTAATAAAACGTAGGACTATGATACAACTATGATTACTGAAGTACAAAAACTTCGATGTAGCAATGGTATAAACTAGAGATACGCGCTAGACAATTTATACACGTTGTATTTACATTAACTACACAGTGTTTGAACTTTTATATTACACGTCATAAAATGGCGAGCTGTTTCAAAGAAGAATTTCTGGTTAAACGGAACAAATGTTTTTTATTTATACCATTAGTACAAAGAAATTCGATGCTATTATCGATATAATCATCGTTACTCCTGAACTTCCGAGAATATGGAAAAAAAACTCAACAATGGATTAAAATTCAACGATATTTTGCTAGATTAATTTGAAAACGATGAATAATGATTACTCTTTTAATGTTGTAATCGTGGATAAATTGCGTAACCCGACTTTTTGCATATACTTATGTAAAAATAGTGCGCACGAATATGTCGCAGTCTAAAGAATGCGTCAACACAACTTTGTTTAGAAGTTGAAGCGAGGGAACAACGGTGCTTCCACGTATACATAATTTTCTAGCTTTCCCTCTTCAAAGTCTTATAATCCAGCATTCTTTTGATGTGTCAATATCACTGCTTAAAATTATTTTTAAGGAGTAACCAAACCGTTACAAACAATCAGAAAAAAGTTGTTTCATTTCACGACTCGGCTATGCATCTCAAACGTAATATTAACTTAATAAAAGATTATTTATGCAAAAATTGAGTACATAAAAGCAGTGACAGTTGACCATTAGATATTGGCTATAATAACACCGATACTATCAAAATTACAAATAATTAAACAGCGAAGATTAAATCGTTAAAATAAAGTCTTAGAGTGGTTATCCAGAAACTATTGATTATTTTCAATATATTGGAGTACTTTACAATTTTTTTCATTTAAATAAAATGAAAAAAGATTCACCATTGCTCAACATTTAATGTTGTCCTAAAGATCACAATTATGTTTAAAGTTCGAGTAGCACTGCATTTTATACATGTGTTAACTTTTAATTGCTACATTTAACCAGAAATATATGCATTTAGCGGCACATCATTTAAGTGACACAGCATGAAGTGCAAATACGAAGAATCTGTTTCATTTCGATAACGTAATTAAAAAACTAAAATCTTTTTTTTTTAAAAAAGGAAAAGAAAATAAAACCTCACTACTTTGGTGATCACTGTCCTGTTATTTCGTAACGTCAAACAGTAAAAACAGTATCACCGCAGAGCTTTCTGCCGAGTTCCAGTCGCAAAAACTTTTCCAGTGTTTACACTTATAAGTTGAAAATAGTCACAAACAGTAATCTGGATAAATCTAAGAAACCGAAGAATATGGTTGTCATTCCGGATGCACTTGGTCATCCTTAGGGAGGACTATACGGTATCATAAGGGGGAGACTGTGTATACTGAAACATACAAAGTATAATAGGCACCATTTCAAAGAGTGAAAGCTCGCAATTAAGAATCGCCTCCAACGTCATTTACGCTTACGCACCCCACGCTCCATTGTCTCCTGGGTCTGGAACCGATGAAGACGAGTGTGCGAGTGGGTAGGTGGAAACGCGGGGCCTGGTCGATCCCACCAGAATGGTGGATAGTCTTGTACAGGAACCATCACAGGGGATATTGAAGGTAAAGGAAGTAGATGTATGAACGATGGATGGTTTGGTTGTACCATAACTAAGGTGTGCTGCTGACTGGCCACGGAACTGTTTCGATGCATACCAACAACTCCATTACACCGGGAATGAGACGACATGCTCATAGGTTCGGAGTTGTTGTATCGAACAGTATTTGTGGACTGATGAGGTTGGGGCCCTTGAGGTGGGCCCCAGGCCATCTGCTAGCATCTTCGAGTATGCCAATTGTTCATGTACTCTTGATAGCTTACAGTGATTTTTTCGCTTTGGTATCTTGTCAACTTGACACTCCGTCTTATATCTTGAGTAACTAGCCCCTTGTATCCACCCTTTCGAAGCAGCGAATCAATCGTTTGCGTCTGGTCCCAACCTAAATAGATATTACAAATCTTTAATAGTCTTGGTAGTATAAGTTCTATTACTTAGGGCAGGTTGCATCAACCTAATTAGCGTGACATTTTATAACCACAAGTAATTAATTTCGAATTAATGAAATTCATGTGGTATCGATAAAAATTAAGCAACACAAAAATTAAAATCCGCTGTTAGATAACCACCTGAAGTCAAACGATTAGTTATAATCACGTGTTATGTAACTCTCAATTAAAGACTTTGAATGTGTTGATGCAAACGGCCCTCAGCATTTGTAATTACTACGCATTAGTGCTACTGCTTTATAACGAACAAAGAACATTGCTTACTCAATTTATAATAAAATAAAGCAAATCTAAATTTATGACCTGAAAGCATCGATCACGCACCTTGCTCTGTTGCAACTTCGGGTAAATACGTGGCTGTCCGTTTGTTACCCTTTTCATTATGAAACTCGATACGAATTCCATGTACTCCTATTTCCCAATCTAAGTAATCTACTCCATCTTCAAAGTGGCGAAGTATGGATACGCTGACGTGTAACCGAGGAAGCTCATCCCGTGTTATAGGATTAAAACGCGAGTCCTTGAATGCGCTTTAAAAACATAAGTTAAAGTATTAAATCTACTTATAAAGTACACATAAATGCATCTGTCACATTTAGAGATATACTTTTAGAGAAACTAATAAGACAGTACCTAGTTGTTGCATATTCACGAAGACCTGCATGTAAATGCATTGCATTAAATGTTCCGATGCAACCTCGCAGTCGCATGTCTTTTCCGATTTCCCATGTTACAAATAGTGGACTGTAAAGCAATTAAACGATTAATCAATGCATAAAAGTATGACAGATCACGGCATTCAACTGACCATATTTTTTAAAAACATAGACTGATAAAATAAACAAAAGACACTAAATTTAAAAAATAGCAAAATTGGAATTAATGTAACTCTATGTACCAACTACTAATTTCTTCAATGTATCAAAATCAGATCAATACCGTTGATACTAATAAACCTTACAATTAATCGTTTCATGCGAATGCAGTAACTTAGGAAACAACTCGATCATTCTCCCACATATGTGAAAAATTGTTTAAATGCACTATAAGGAACACATGTGCAGAATGCTACACTGCATCGTTACATTAATTTAGGGTTATTATTGAAAGAGTCATGACGTACTAAATTTACATCGATGCTAAAATTACCTCGACCAGTCTAGACTCACGTTATTTCAAATTCGTCTTAGTTTATACACAAAGGTCCTTCGTATACACTTAAACTAAATATACAAATGCTCAAAAATTTAAACGCTAAAAGCAATCCACAAAGAGCACTCAAAAGAATTCATTTCTTTTTGAACTCTAAGAAGACTCCAACCTATAAATATACCACGGTGTAAATTATCGAATGGTTGAGCAACAAATAAAAAAAGGACTCCAATCGACTCGCAGATTCATCGCCTCGCCAAGGATTTGACAGCACGAAACAAAGGCAGAGCCAAGAAAGAGTGGCGAGCGCGTTCCGCGGCAGCGCGCGAAGGAGTGAGAGAGGAAGAAGGGAGCGGAACGCGTGGACCGACGGAGGGAAAGAGAGGGAAAGAGAGGTTCGAGACGAGAAGTCGGGGCAGGGGGGGAGGAGGGGAGCTCTCCCGCTAGACTCACAATGCATCGTTGCTGAAGTTGGGCGTTTTTGGAGGGTCGAGCTGGTGCAGTTGGCAGTACAAGACGTCGAAGCAGAAGAAGCCCATCTCGGGTTGGACGATCAAGCCGTTGCGCATTTGCGTGCCGTTCGTCAATATCGCCGATCCATTGCACGAGATGCTCGAGGAGTTGTTCAGCTTCTGCTTCTTCGTTCCACAACAACCAGCCGCCATCTTTCCTCGGTATATCACGACTGAGGCACGACGAACCAACGACCGCGCTCCGGAACGCGAGCCGTCGGGGCCGAAACTGCGCGCGCGCTCCGCCAGGCGGCGTCCTTGACGCCCAAAAACAGCTGTTTCATCGCCCGCCGTTGCGAGGCGGAACGACACTAGCGCCGCCATTTCGCGCCCATTTCAAGCTACCTTTTCACTTGCTACACCGCTGCGTGCAGCAGAGTGCTCAAACTGAGCGATTTTAAAAGAGCTTCTGCAATTTTTTTTCTTCAGTCACGAGTCGCAATTTTGGCGATTTTCAAATTGCCAACGATTCTGCTAATAACTTTTCATTTCATTCAAATTGTACGATTTTTGTTATATAATACAGATTCATAGCTATAATTTAATTTGTATTATGTTTGTATATTATTGTTAACATCATAGTATTTTCAGTGGTGTCCAATTTTTACTTATATCATTAGACTATTTTTGGTCTGATTTGATGATTTCTTGCGGTGGCAACTGCCTCTAGAAAAATGTGGGCACTTTGGTATGCAGCAAAGCGCTCTGATTGGTTAAAAATCAAAAGGTAATTGCCGTCTTTTTCCAGCAGTGGAAAACATATTTTATAGCTTCTAAGCACCTGTAGTTAACTTTAGAATCAATTCAACCTTTTGCAGCAGTTGCTTATAGATTTCGTAGCAAAATTGAGAATTAGTCACACCGAGTTACTGCATACAGCAACACTGCTGTGCATTAAGTGAAAAGGTAGCTTCATTCGTATTCTCGAGGTAGTATAACGCTTTTCAAATCGCCGCATAAACGCTGCATTACCTTAACTTCTGTAAAAAAAAAAACTCGAATCTAAATACAGCAAAGTATTACAACCGATTATGAACTCATCGGCTTCGCTCCTAGCTCCGATCGTCTCTTCCTAGAACGGACATTTTCAAAAATCAGTTATGCCGATATAACACGTAGATCTAATTAATCGAGAAACATTTAGCTGCCTCTTCGAGAAATATATTCTTTCAATCGTTAGTGGATGTTTTCAGTAATACCGAACAATCTCCTTTCTTGCAGAACATACCTTCGCATGAAACAATAAAGTCGAAACGAGTCTCTTTACGGGTTACATTTTTTCGAAAATCCTTTGATTTTCGAGATATATGAAATTTAAAATACTCGGTATCTTCTATATTAATTTCATTATATCTATGAACTTTCCACGGAACTCTTCTTTTATATATGGCGAACATGCCGGGAGAGTGCACCACTATTCTAGAGACATTCGACCCACGTCGGTAACGTTTTACTAGACATAAAAATCATTGCGACGAAAGGTACATCTTCTATGCGTCTTGTGGTTTATTTTTGCAGACCATAAACAACTCTGCAATGTAGGCAATGGAAAGAATGCTTCGCTTAACCAGACTTTACGTAGCTTTAAAAAGTTACCGACATGTACCGGATACCTCACCACGGTGGTGCCCTCTGTAGTCGCCAAAGCGAATTACAAAATGTGCAATATGTCCTGTTAGGTCAGGCGATGGTGAAGACTCGTTACAATTCATTTTAAAGGTACCGTTATTAAACTAACATTCACGGTTTCTTATATAACATTTTCCATTAGTTGAACAATAGTTCATCGATGATGAAATGTAGTTATGCGATCGTTCCATCTAAGTATTCGTCGATGCTACAATTTCGTGGAGAATTCCGCAAAAGTCTGGGCGAAATGGAGGCATTAAAGTTTAAAAACTGCATCGCCGTAATCGGTCTCCGCCATCTTGATTAGAAAAGACTGCGCGCCTGTTCAGAATCCGTTCGACGAGAAAGCGGAGGTGCAGCATCGACTTCTGATCTCTCGGCAGACTCGTCCCCCCGTTTCTCCTCCACGGTTGGGCACGAGGTCATGACCCGCGTCTCACCTATTTCACGAGCCATCGTTCCTCCTTCAGAAGAGAAACGCTCACAGGGGGACCGAAGCTCGGCGGGCGGAAGAAGAGGGCCTCTATCCTGAAATCGAACCAACTCATCGTTAATCACTCATCGCCTGGCTTTTACTCGAGATTGGACCGATTCGTAATCTCCTGGCTAACTGAGGGAGAGAGAAGGTTGAGCGTAACCGAGATTTATTCACATACTTAGCTATCAAGAGAGAAGGGACTCCAACGAGCGTTAAATAGAACGTTACTTTTATCTTGCTTAATTTGGTATATTTAAAAAAGTATACCAAGAAATGCATTGAACGAATATTAACATGATTAAATTGTAGCGTCCCTGTAACATGATATTTGACTGAAATACGTAATTCTAAGTTTCGCTGAATACAGTTGCGATAACCACGGAGCACATTTCTTAGATTTGTATTACTTTTAAGTTTCGCTTGGCACGGTTTCGATACAACGATGTTGTAAGAGGGTTGAGTACATGACCTTTTAATTCTCTAGACCGAAGAAAAGGAAAATTCTGACTTTGGACTAACGAGACGCTTTTAAATAGACAGGAATCGGATAGACGTGGGCTGAAGTATTAGACTGAATTTGTATAAGGTAGTTAACTTTTGTCCGGGTTAGGGGTTTCTTTTTTTAGTTTAGTTCGATAGAGCGGAGAAAGTAAAAAAATCCTGGCCTTATGCTAATCTTTGCTGAAATCGAGACGAGTCAACGTTAATCTTCCGCCGTGTCGCTTTCACTTAACATTGAGGCGATGCATAACTTTGTAGCTAATCGAGGACTCTGAGTGAAAACAGGGTTTACGCCCGAGTGGACCTTCGGGACTTCGCTGAAGCCACATTTTCGATATGGTCAAGTTTACCGTGCCGGAGGTCGTAAAATTTTAAACGTGTTCTTTTTGCACCTCTGACCAAATTTCCGAACTCCAACAACAATCGTACGCGTCAAGAGTACATATGCACTCGTATTGTTAGCAAAGCGCAACATAGTTGAACTTTTACGGCAATGACGGGTAAACTTGGGAAAAAAGTATTTGCGATTGCAACAAAAGTAATAGGAATAACGAACTCTCTGAATTGACAAATAACTTTGTAGCAACACGGATAAGTAATAATTACAATTAAATCGGATAGGTGATTAACAGATTCCTGGTAACTAGTAAAAATGTTACAACAATAAATATAATTTTCGTATTCCTAAATTACGTGGAAAACGCGTTTATCAGTTTCGCGTAGGTATTTGCATACAAATTTGCGAGGCCAGTTTCAAGTAAAACTTTTTACTACCACTGTGAATAATACATGTCCCTAACAATAGCCGACCTTGTCGATCCTTCTTTTGCTGCTTGCACCTGAACCTAGAACTCCGAAATAGATATTACAATCAAATGGACCACTTACATTTTAAGTCCAGCAGGGAATACCGTGGTCGTTAAGGTGATATAAAAATAGCATCTGACGCGTCAATCGTTCGTGAAATTTTTTTCCGAACTCAGGGTATCGAATCGTTTGAAGCTTTACCACGTGAATATGGAAATCCTAAAGAAGGTCCCGACACCCATCAATTTTCATTTTTAATACAAATTTTTTTCAATATCTATAAATAAGTTTAAAAAAAATTGTAATTTCACGGGTGTCAGAATCTTCCTTGTACCCTCCACATTTACATTGTACAGTTTGAAACGATTTGGTGTACCCAGTTCGGAGAAAAGTTTCATAAACGAGACCTCTTTGACGCCACTTCCGTAATCACCTTAAAAACGCCTGCGATTTCAGAGTTGGAAGTATTCTAAATCCGAACGAGTTCGCGGAATTTACATCTCCGCTTCTTTTCCGATAACGGCAACCTAAAATCGTGACGATGTAATCCCAAACTCCATAGATTTACCCCCACGGTTAATAAAATATTTCCGTCGTAAATTCAACCGCAACGCAAACAGGTCGTCCTCTGAGAGATTAATAGTTAGTTCTTTCTACAGACCCCGGCTAGAAGTTGCCCTCCGGCGACGCAGTCCGTGCAACCGTCAGGACAGCATATTCAGAGGGCTTCACGGGTCCCAGCGGCGCTCCACCAAGCCGAGCTCACAGGAGACAATCAACCGCACCAACCCGTCCAATTGGGCCGAAGTCGAGCCACGATCTCGAAATAAGTTGGTCCAGCAGCCATCGAAGGCATCGGCCATCCGGCAGCCGTCCGCTCCCCTCTTCCTGAGCTCGCGGCCAGACTCAAAGGCGATGCACTTTCGCATCCGCAGGTATCAAAGAGGGGTTGCCTATCGAAAAGAGAAAAACTCCCGTGCTCGGACCTGTCCTTTCTTTCCGCGTTTCCCGAATCCGCGGAGATAAGCTCTCGCGTGCATCGGCGTTAACCCTTTCGTCCTCTTTCTGGGATCCCTCTTCCTCCAACCCGCCGTCCGTCCGCGTGCTCGTTCGCGCATACCGTCTCCCCCGCTCGCTCCTTCTTTCTCCGCACCTATAGATATCGGATTCTCTTTTAGGGACCGTACTAAGGCTGCTGGATGAAAGTATATAACCGGTTCGCAGCTGCAGCCAGACTGGGAGACCGGGCATCGGCCGGCGCGGCCGGCAACCGGCGCAACCGCCGGCAACCGCCGGCAACCGGCAATCGCACCGCCTTAGCACCGAACTTTAACCGCGTTGCGTCCTGCGGCACACCGGCCCGTAAGCAACGCGCAAAGCGACTGCCCACGCCGCGGTACCGTAACGCGGTTTACTTAACGACGTTATTTCGAGTAGCGGTGCTTAGCGACGGCTCCAGCGGGAGGCGGGACCTTGCCACGGGCTTAACGTCGTTGCTTTTGGTTACTAGGTTTCCGTACGGCGAGAGTAGGGACAGCAAAGTCCAGGAGACGGAGATGACTCCTCGATTTGATCACGGATGGTTCGAGCATCACGGTCTTGTAGTCTATCAAAATAGCTCGCGGTCCGGAATTACGCATATGCCCGAATGTGGAGATTCTTTACGTCTTTATACGTCTAAGTAGTTGGACCGTATAAATTCTTGTTCAATTTTAATTGTACCGTTTTATACCATTCCCTTCGGTGACGCGTGCACCGGTGAGAGAGCGTTGCGTGTCCTAATAGCGCAGAACGGATACCGCGGGGCCATGTCGGGCTTTAAGTGAATAAAGGTGCGTACACCCTGTGCGTGGGGAGTGAATCGTAATTCGTGGTGCGCCAAAATTGGTCAATCCGACGACCTGGCCATTTATCCAATGGGGTTCGTGATCAGTGGGTCATTTTTCTTTTACAATTTCTATACGCCTGAAATAAATTGCTCTTCCTCTTCAATTGTCATCTCATCCGCGATACCATTAGACGAATCTTTGCTTCGGTTCTCTTCATCTTTAGTCGAGGGATCCCACGGGCACGAGTAATCTCTCACATTTTCTACAAATTGAATAATTTTTTCTTCGCACCGCTCCACATTGAGGACCATCTGCCCCCCGAATACTCGACGACAAAACCGACCCGAGCGACACACCGCCTATCCACCATACGCGTCTCAGCTTAGCAGAGATAACTTAGAAAGGATCTCCTCGAGGATGCCATATTTTCCGCCAAAACGGCGAACCACCACCCACCAATACAAACGCACTAAATTCGAAAGCATCGTTTATACACCATTTCTTCCGGAGGCACCTCACGCATAGGGTGTGCGGGCCTTAAGGCCTTAAGGCCGGCAGTCCCGGCCGTTCTCCGGGCAACGGCTGTCCCGCTCGTCCCGTTGCCTCCGAAATCTTTAAAAGACCATAACGTCATTTCGGCCGCCGTATCCCGCCGGGGGCAGCCCCGAAATTCACCGTTCCGTCGGAGGGCACGAACCTTGGCGAAAACAAAGCGCGTCCACCGGCAGCCGTGGCCGGTCGACATACCGGGACGGCGTGGTTACGTTGTTCACCGGGCCGCTACCGGAGGGCATCGTCCATTAGCGACCGCCGACCGCCGTATCATCAACGGGCGGCCGTAATGGGCCGGTGGGCACTTTTAACGCTCCACCTTCCAACGGCCCCTTCCTTCCGGATGGGGCCCGGGCGGGACGCCCGGGACGGTCGTCCCGGGGGGCCCGTCTTCCGCCTCCCGGCCGGGGCGAGGGCCTCCGCGGCGCGCATGCGCCCACGCGTCTCCGCGTGGCCGTCGCGACGCGATTCGGCCGCTTTGTGCGGCCCGACCGTGTTGCCATGTTTAACGCGCCGGGCCCCCACCTCCTACGCCGCGGGCCCGCCGCGCGCGGGGCCCGGCACCGAATCGGACCCGAGCGCGAGCGCGAGCGGGGCCCAGTACCTCCGCGCCGCCTCCTGCGCTTCCCTCGCTCGGCCGCGGAGTCGCTGCGGAGTCGCCGCGGACCGCCTCCGCTGCCCGGTCGGTAAGCAGGTGCCCTCTCGGCTCCAGGGACCCCGAGGACCGACGCGACGCGCGTTCGTCCCTCTTCCGTTTCCGAGCCTCGCGCACGGCCCGTTGCTAATTATTTAACAACCTCCGCGAGCACTCCCGCTCGATCTAGATCGAGCTCGGGGCGGGCCCCCTTTTCCGCGATCGCGCCGCTGACGCGAGAGAGGTGGTGCGGTGAGAACTGGGAGCGGCCCTAAAGGTCCCATTTTATTTACCTCTGCCTGCGATCAAAGTACATTTCCATGCGGAGTATTTTGGAAATACGAGAAATCCCTGGATTTTTAGGATAATGGGTGATCCAGGTATCTGTTCGCGAATCGAATAGGATCCGAATGATGCAGGGAACGGTAAGAAATATAGACCGGAATGCCGGGAGAGGGATCTTCGCTTAGAGGCCGAACGAGTTGGGTATTGTGGGAAACGACGAGATATTTATTTTTATTTTTCATATAGACATTGGAGGTCAGGGGTCTTATCTAAGTCCGGTATCGGGGAAAGTTCTTGTCCGTCTGGAGGAACGGTCCAGGGTCGAGGCGGAAGAAAGTGCAGATTCCGCGGATCGGCCGGGTCCGGGCCTTCGTCGACGTTTGCAGCCGGCACGCCGGGAGCGCCGGAGCCGTCTGAACCTTCTTTGGCCGAGCTCGCTATTCGCGGCCGGGCTCGTGCGGCCACTCGGCAGGCTCGCACACGGCCGCGTGTCACCGCTCCTCGTGTGAGCCGAGCGCCGCTCGGCGCCGCTTGGCGATGCTTATCGGCTGAAGTGCGCTCGCAGTCGCGCGTCGCGGGCCCCCAGGTGCGGGCGACCCGGAGCCCCCTGCCGGAGCAAAAAGGAGCGAGCGTTCGTTCTTGCCCGACCAGCCGATGCGCAAGAAACGGACGGCTGACGCGAGGTTCGATGCGGCGTGAAAGTGCGAACGGAGGTAGAGCTTCTTGAAAGGGTGGCGATCGAGCAACGGTATTTATAGATTAACGATCGCGTCATTGGGCCTAGTAAACGTTTATTCGCCCTTCTAGAGAACCTCGAGGTCGCGTGCCGTTAGATCGAGCCAAGACGTCGAGACTCGTGTCTTCGAAGGAGCCATCGCGATGCCGACCGAAGGATGAAGACGGACGTTGGATGCGCTTAACTCTCCGAAATGGCCGCGATGATGCTGGGGAGCTTTTTCCATCGACCGAAGAGAACTCGCCGGCGATCGGTAGTCTTCTAGTTAGAGAAGAGTGCCGGGCTGGATCCCTTTCTGCCGCTTCTTCCCGTGACCACGAGGCGCTGGGCACGATGAGCGGCCGACAGCTGTAGCGCTCCCTGAAAAAGCGGTTGTGTGTGGAACATTAGCATTTGGAGGGAAATAGACCATTCGAGACAGCTGGTCCGACGTACTATTGGTGCAAGAAACTGTTGCGGGCTCGTACGAGCGTTACGAGTTTGCGCTATTGCCGCGTCGATGCTCATTGACCGAAGGGCGGCCCATAGTCATCGGCTCCTGGCGGAGCAAAAAGAAGCGGCGACTTTTGCCTCGAGTTGATCTTGCTTTTCTTGTTACTCGTCTTGCTGACACGTGAGTAATGGACAGCCGCCGCGAGATTCAATGCGCCCTCTAAGTGCGACCACGAGACTCTCCAGCGGACCCGTGAAGAGCGATGTTGGACTACACTCCGTACACCCGCCGCATACTACTCGGTAATGTATACAGAAATCTTGAGGAGGTATAAAAGTTCGAGGGGCGAGTCCGTGACACGCTCGAGCGCGGTAGCTGCTTACAAACGGCACTTCTGGAAATAATTGTATGGCCAAGAAAAGACTCCCGGCGTACTGTGGGATCTTTCGCCGAATTTTTGGAGGACTCCCTGGTCGGGGCCAATTACGCATTGGAAGCTTGTTTTGGGATCACAAGAGGGGACTAGAAGACGGTGATTACCCGAGAAGCGTATACCGGAAGTTGACGATACAATGATTAAGGAATTAAGTCGGAACGAGAATGTGGACGATGTAACTTTTGTAGGAAAGCTCGAACGTTTATGAGTTTTCGGAGATTTTTAAGGAGAGGTCGGGTGCTTCTCGGCAAAGAAGAAACGTGCGTGGTGAAGACGTTGACTTGCTGCTGCTGGGTGTGGATAGAGGAAACATTCCGAAGAGGAATAACTCATCGCCCTGATCTAATCGAGATGATCGATTGCGTACTCGGTCCAAGAGGGCATCGACTTTTGAAGAGTTCGCGATACCGTGCAGTGTTTTATACGCAGGGAGGACTCTCCAACGAATGTTAAAGTGTTCTTTTAGGGCGCGAAATCCTTCGGATCCTCGTATTCTCAGATCGGGAGCGAATCTACGGATAATTGCGCGGAGTGTGGGACGGCAGCTTTGATTGTTCGCATGTGCAAACCGTAGCAGCCTACGTTGGTTAAAGGGTGCTCGTAAAGCGAGGTGGAGAATAAAACTTCCGGTGCGTCGCGATATTCAAGTGGGAAACTACAAGTAGATACTCATCTTTCGCGGCAACGTGCTTTACTTCCAAGCGGAAGGGGAGAAGGTTCTAATGGGAAGTGATGTCTACCTATTATGGCAGAGCCTTCTTCGAGGAGATATGTCACAGCTAAGGTAAGCGCAAACACGAATTTACTTGTGGAAACTTTTTTACATTTTCTTCGATGCTTCGCATTTTGACGATAGGGATTATATCGATGATTCTTTACTCGTAAAAGATCATGAAGTCCCATTGAATTTATCGTTAAGAATGCATTACCCATAAATCGAGTAAGTCCACGTTATGCTTCCAATCGTACATGTAATAATTATTGAACAAAGTCGCTTGATCGATTGCATTTGTTTCGTCTCCGAAAACGTTTCGGTTGAGTGGCGATAAAAGAAATGTTTTGGTCAAGTGTCCCAAATCACATTAATATTTCGTACGATCAATATTTGATATTTTATATAATCGGCCAAAAATTGTTATACAATGAATTTTATTAAGTTAACCAAAATCTGATTGTTCATATAATAACCGTATTTTGTGGTTGAACCAATGAAAATTGTCTCGAGTGTACCAAGTATTTTTCTTAGCGTATGTTCCAAGGGTACACGGGATTTATTTATTGCATGTTTCTTATTTTAAAGGAATATCTTCGTGACTTTGACCCTGTTTATCGAAAAATCCTTGACTTATCGGCCAAGGTACCAATATGTTGCGCTTTTGTTAAAAGAATTCTTCGGGAAAGTACTTACCTGTTATAATGCCGGGTTCGAATTTTGCACACGTTATACGGACTAAAATTTATGACTTTTCTGTACGATAAATCTCAAATAGGCAGGAGCCGTAACCTAGCTCAAGAATGCCCACTGACGTATTTGGACTCGCGAATCTCCGCGCGTTTCTGCACACCGTTGGAACCCGTTCTCAAACTGCCATGTCACTAAAATACTTCGGTGAATTTGCATATGCAAAGTATTCTTTTCCTTATTTTCCTCCATTCTTTTTTTCGGGCAGACAGCGTCTAGGGCATTTGCATCGCGCGAATTTTTTACGCGGTTAATGGATGTCGATCGTTACCGTAATAGCATGCCGAATGACTAATAGCGTGCCGAGCACAACCTCCCATTGAGATACTTTCAATCTTGCAACTATCCATTATCCCCGGCTTTGTGTGTAAAATCTGCCATGCTACTTTGTTTCGTGTGTCCTTGCATTTTAGTTTGCCTTCGATACTCCTGCTGGCTCATCCTCTCGTGATCACCCACGGAGGTAAATCAAGCGAAATGCTAATCAACTCCGTTTAAATATGTGCAAACAATTGTCAAAAGAGAAAAAAAACTAGTCGCCAGACCGTAAGATTGATATAACCAATTTGAAGTGTCGGGCTTGAAGAAAAGAAAAAAATTCTCTCCTTTCGAATTGAGACGTGTTTTAGAAGTTCAGGAACTTTGGGAATTAAAATCGAGTAGGCGGTAGGAGAGATCTACCTACTGATAAAGAACGTGTACGCGTAAAGAGGTAGAATGATTTATATGCCCGTCCCGAACTATAATAAGTAAGATGTTAAGTCTCTGTTCAAGGTTTTAAGACGTTCTTTTAAATCCCGTTTTATGGGCAATAAAGAGGACAAATCTGAAATTTTCTAGATAATAATTTACAAGACTTTCTGAACGTTTCCTTTTTTACTTTTTTCTTTAATGATAGAGTTTTAACAACTATAGAGATTTCGGTCGTTTGGCCGTGTTTTAGAATTCCATGAGCTCTCCGTTTGGAATGCACGATTAAAAGTCTAAAATTATACTTGTCCGGGTGGAATCACATCGATTCCCTCCTGGTGGAGACGCGTTACTCGTTTAGAAGGAATTCCAAAATCGGGTGATTGCGTCAACCGCTTTATACTATCTCCGGCTCCACATATTGACCAATGTAGTCACACTTTTAGAACGTATCAGTTTACACCTTGAACCAATACCATGCCCGATCGTTTAGTTCTGGTCGGCAATAAATTCTGGTTTTTATAGTTGTACCACAACTTTACGGTCTTCTGCAAAGCCGTGAACCTGACAACCTAGAAAATCTCGATCCAAGTGGACTTTTTAAAGAATTACATTTATCCTTTATCGATCCAGGCGCTCCTAGTCGTCCTGTTCTTCCTCCCCTACGTCATCTGTTGGTCCGACCACAAAAATTCCGGCAAATTAATAGGAACCAGTTCCGAACAGATCCGGTGCCATTCTTCAAAACGCCCTTTGCATTCAAGTGTCCGTCGTGCGCGTGATTTTTTTATGCGAAATGAACGAGCCTCGGTGCGAACTTCGAAGGTGTAAAAAGACTGAAAATCTCCAAGGACCTCCAGAGATATAATCGCAGTTGGCACAGCTGGTCCAGTCAGCTGAGATACGAAACAGTCCCAGGCAATTACAAGAGATGAGAGATAACAATAGCCACAAAAACTCAGCTAATGACTTTATTGTAATATATTTTTCCATAAATCCTCTCAACTGAAATCACCATTTGACTTCAGCGATCCCCGTGATTTATAATAAATAAGCTGAATATTGATAGCTAGAATAAGACGGTAAAAGTAAACCTGTAACTGAGGAGGAAAGGGGTGCTTGTGAGAAGTATAGTACCTAAAAAATGTTTGAGAGTCTCTCTGGGTACGGTCAATCACGGGTTAATTACAGGGTAGGAGGGTACGTTTGGCGTTCACCTAGTTCCTGCTCCCAGCTGTTTTAATTATGCGTGGCTTCCGTTATACCCGTGTTTTGCGAGGGGATTAAACGGACCCAGGTGAAGCATCCTATAGAAAGTTGAGACGTGGAGCGACGGCGTAGACAGGACGGTCAGGGTCGGCGCGCCTGGAGCAACCATCCGAGGTGGCGAGATCACAAAGAGACGATTGCCAGTGCCCGGCGAATGCAAACGGAGGTGATGGGATCTTTAATACGGAACGAAATGCGTAATCGAGGATTTATTTTGTTCCATTATAGAGAATCGGAGCACTCTAGGTTACGTCCATCCGCTTTAGAGTTCTAGGAGAAGGCCTATCATTGGGTTAGATTGCTTGCGATGGACGTCTATGCCGGACGAGTCGTTAATATGGATTCGTTTCGGTTAATTACAGCGGTAATTGTCCCCGTTCCATCGTCCGGCTACGTGCAGAAAAATATTTGGTTGAATGAATAAAATTTGTGTCGCTCGATCACAGAGTATGGTCATCGTGTGGATCACCACATTCTATGCGTGTTGCTACCCTATCATGAGGATAATTTGGTTTCGACGACAAGATTCGTTGGTTAATCGTTTACGTTAAATGTTATGATAGATCATACCAAATATTGAAGTAATTTGGCACACTTAACCAAAACATATGGCTTATTAATTAAACTATTTTCTGAAATTTAGAAAACGATTTAACCATAATGCTTTAGTTGATTGAAACAGACCAGTTTGGGCAACTGAATTAAAATTCGGATCGCTAAATTAAAACGTTTTCTGAGAAGAACCAAATGCAGTCGGTTAAACGACTTCGTTCAATGAACATTTTTTTCTACTTGTTTGTATGGTGCTAGTTATTCTCAGCATGGTCAAGGATTTAAACGTTCTACGAGCCACTATTTGCATTTCTTGATGTAGTATAGACAAATATTTAATAAAGACTCGTCTCTGTTTCATCGGGCAATTGATCCGATAAACCTTGTGCCGATAAATGAAACGGAATCTGTGGGACTGTCACGCCCGTTGTCTCCAGTCGCAGCATCCGTATCTCCCATCTTAGTATTTGCTTCCGTCCTACGCGCAATCCCCCAGAAGGTTTGAATATGTTATGTACGGATGCCTCGAGGGGTCAAATGGTTGGGAGTGGCCTTCGCGGAAGAGCTGGCCAAGACCAGTGATCCTGGTACAGCCAATTGATGTTACTGGCCCCTGGAAGGACGAGCGAGTTGGACCTAGCATAATTTGTAAAGGGAAGGGCACTTTCTTCACATAGACAAAAAATGAGAATTTCTCAGAATCATTTTATGTATAAAAGAGGTCCCTAACTGACTCATCATCGTCCAACCTACTCTGCCGAGCATAGAAACGTTAAATTTCGGGGATATGGTTCTTGTTGTAACACGGGTACTCGCTAAGGCGGGATTTCTCGAAATTCAACCCTTAAGAGGATGAAAAGGGGTAAAATGTGTTTATACGAATTATTTAATATCTCCGAAGCCCGCTGAGACATCGGCTCGGTTTTCATTTAAAAAGAGTAAACATATAAATGTTTGAAAAGGAATTTCAGGATTTTGTCCTGACTAACCCCTAAGGGGATGAAAAGGGGTAAAAAGAATATTATCAATTCTGAATTCTAGTTGCACGTGTCGCAAGCGAAGTTGCTACTGGGGATGACAGTTGCTCGTACAGGGTCAAACGGATTTTTTCTTTATAGAAGCTTTGCGACTCGCTTCTATTGGGTCGATGTTTAGACACTTTACTGGGTCAAATTCCGGTTGAACGGTTATTCATGACCAACGCGACTTCCCAACATGCGGTGCCATGTCTCGTTGTCACCCAAATGCCGCTGCCTTAGAGCTCTAAATTCCGCTCGTTCCCAGCCCGGCCCGTAACGCGCATTTTTCCAGATAAGATTGGTGACACACGCCAAGACGAGTCAAGTTTAAGTATTCGCGGTAGAACGCTCAGAGGACGTTCATTTTACCCCGACAAAAAGGACGGCACGGGCCTGTACGTACACCACGTTGGGTGCTAATCCTCTTTACTTAATTCCATTCTACCGATGAATGCGAGCGAACGTATACTCGAGTCTGCACCATTAAATCTCCATGGTGTACCGTTTTAGTAAGGCCATTACCTCCTTACCGGCACACGAACCAGGATCTCCGAAGACGGCGGGTCCGCGGGTGCGGTACGGCAACCGTCCTTTCACGACATCACGTACCTAACCATTCGGCAGCGTGCCGTAATCTGGAAATACTTAAGGGGTTATACCACAATCAGAGTCTGAAAATCATTGGGATTTGTGTAATTTTTTTTTTTTGAGGGAAAAATTGAAAACTAGGTGGAACTTTCGTGGACGAGACGGGATAAAGAAACTTACAGATATGTATATATTTTTTTTCAA